CGCGGCGCTTGCCGCATGATTCGCTAAAAATCTGCAATCACGTGATCTCGATGGGGGGGAGGGGAGGGGGTGCGGGAAGAGGATTAACGGACGGACAATGAACGGGCGATCCTGCTTGAATGGCGTGCTGAAGCGCACTCGAAACCGAGCCGAACAATTCACGCGTAATTCTCGTAACTGCGATATTCGCGTTTCACTGCGATTTCCGTCTCGACGAGGTCGGATTTGGCTTTCCTGCCCGTTTCAAAGATCTTACTCAAGACTCTCAGCGCAATTCGAATCGCGGGGGATTCGATTCATACATTTTGCAAAATAATAAACTTTCATTCTACATTCTACATTCCGCCTCTCCTTTTAACATATTTCATCATACAATTATTTGAATTGTCGCGCTATCACGTTACCCGCCCGAAAGGAGAATGAAATGACGTAACTCTGGCGACGACGTGCAGTCTGTTCTAATCTTAGCACACGCGTGGTATTTTATACAAGGCACACAAACCGAAGGGAAACAATACTTTCCGCCTTTTAAATACCGTGCGCACTTTTCGTGTTAATTATTTAAAAGAAGAATTTATATAAAAAGTTATATGCGCGCTGGGGCGTGGAGGAGATTAGGTCATTAATCCCTGTGATAATTATAGTAATGGGGAAAAAACTAAAAGGGAGGAAGGCCTGCAATCTATGTTTATAACGCCACCTCAACTCCGCAGGACACCCGGTACGTGTTGCATTAAGCGCTGCGCGACGCTGCCCCGCGACTAATTGGGAGCGGTTAATGAGGTGACGCATTTTTATTGTTCTTCCGGCTTGTTAAGCGACCTGTTTGCTTCCGTAACACGTACGCCGGGGAGCCCCGGGAAGGCGCAGGGATAGCCGGGAATCCCGCGGATATCCTGAAATTGTCCCGAATACCCTGCGCGAATCCCGGAAACGCCGGCGGAATATTTTTCGCGGCTTTGCCGACCCGGCGGATTATCGACATCGGCGCTACACACGTGCGTTTATTCGCACACGCGTCTACGCTTTAAATAAACGGGGCCGAGTGAATTCATAATTAAATCGGCTTGATAAATAGAAATAAATGGGTGGGCAAGACGGTGGCGTTATCAACGCCCGAGCGATATAATTTAGCTCATAAAATATTACGCGAAGGATGAATCTTACACAGAAAATGAATTAACTCACCCGAGTAATATTTTCGAATGAATTAAGTTGGAAAGTTAAATCGTCAAAGACACACGGCGGTTATGTATTCTCTTAAAACAGGGTACGCGATTCACCTGTGATTGGTTTCGCTCGAAAATAATAATACTTCCTTACAAAAATTGAAATAAATATTGCACAAATTTTCCATTAGATATTTTAATGCAATGTAACAAATAACAAACACGCAGGTATATAGATATAAAAATTTAAAAAAAAATACAAGCATTTGTCAAGTTAAAAATATCGAAATAATATTCTAATAAATGAACACAAACGCGAGGTTTGATTACTTTTTATGTAGCGCTAAATGATCTGTTTGTTAAAACTGAATTGACATTTTCCATCTCTGAATGGCATGCAATTTTGAATGTTATTTCAATCGTCCTTTTAATATAGAATTTTAGCTTGCCGATTTACATATATGTATAATTGACATTTTCTACTTTTGTGACTCATTTCCGCATGAAAACTATCTATTTACAATTCCATGTTTACCTTATTTTTATCCTACCATCATTATAAAAATGGATCGACTCGTTATGACTATGTGCATTAAGTGTATTCCACAGAATTAAAACAGCTGTACATGCGTTGAAAACGGTTGAAAATGTAAATTTACAAAGAATTGAGACTTTATTGTTAGAATATTTCATGTTGGTAATGAAAAATTTGCGAAGAGATGTGTAATTAAATTCTTTTCTAGAAAAGACCGGGTCGACATTGGTCGGTTATATTTATAAATAAAAAGGTACGCGACGCTTAATAGCAGTTCGTATAAATATTCCATGAGTTACGTTATTTATAAAAAAAAAAAAAGTCTAATGTGTCATGTCTTCTTTGAACGTGATGAAAAAAACTCTCTAACATGATTAACGTGTAGCGAAAAATGTTTGTGTGCGTGAATTTCCATCTACAAAAGCGCAGTGATTATTTTTGCAATTTCGAATATTACGTTTTAACGAATAAAATTTAAACTGAATCCGAAATAATACACGTGTGTTCAAAGAGTCATTTTTTGAGCTGTGTTGTTTTTGAAGAGAAAAGTTGGTACGTCGTGCACGGTAAAAAATAATAATAAAACACAACACGGATGAATTTCGGTATTGTGCAATGCATTCTAAGTCACCGGATTTTTTTTACGTTAAAAGTGGCTTTTGACGTATGATATTTGGTGAGAAGATCTCGGCACAGGCCGGAATTCTGGTCAGGATGAGGACGCGGGAGATTGACGGCTGCATTAAAAGGGGCGACAGGCGAAGGTTCTGAAAAATCCAACGCGCAGATATTACTCGGCGTTCTCGAGATGTCGTGTTTTTCTATCGTATTCCGCGAGACTTTACGTTCCAAAATTTGATTCGATCACGCGACGGGAAGTTTATCTTAGGTGTATGTCCAATACGTATCCTCGATAGTTGATATGGATTCGATTCTGTCCCCACTAAAATTTTCATAAAAAATTTTTTCCACGTTGCGCACATATGTCCAATAAGAATCTCGCTCTATTCATAATACACGTAATGCTCACAATATAATATGCATTGACTGTTTTGACCCATTTTTTTGCTTTATCAAAGGTTGCTAACTTAGCTCGATGGAACATAACATCTCTCCAGGTTCCGTATTACTTCAAAAGAAGCTATCTTGATGTTAAACCATTTCGCTACATATATCTATATATAACATACGTGAGATGGTTAATTCATGGCAGCATTCCACTCAATTTCTCGAGCTTTGACGACTCGAGCCTTCTTACGAGCGTTCTTCAATTTCAGTTTGTATATGCAACATACTTTTATTTATCTCGAAGATCTACAGAAAATAATTTGTAATATATTTCTTTAACGATTTATGAATAAAATAATTGCGTATTACATTTACTCTGAAATTATACATCTTGTTTCAATAAGCATAAGAATTATGTTTTGAAACTAGCGTTGTTATTGCATTATTTCCATTAATTTTAATTTCAGCATACAGAATCATTTTGATGTTTAGATTGTTAACCCTTGTTCTACGTAAATGTATGCTTACGTAGCGTTTACTGTACAAAACAAAGTTTAACTAATCTGTGAAACTGTTTCATGTTTAGTTTGTTATACCCAAAGTTTGCTCGAAAATTAATTTCAATATGATTGAATATTTCATTATGTTTAAGTTAATCTTAATGTAGATTAATTATATCCATTGTTAGCTATCTCCACCCCTTTTTAATTTTCTCAACGCATTTTTTTTTTAAAGGAATTACAGTAAACTTTAGCATAAATTGGATGTTATTTCTGCGAGATGATTTATTTTAAGATCAATTTTTAATTTAACAATAAATGATAAAAATTACGTTTGATTATGCTTAAAAATTTTGATTTTTGTATTTGTATCAAAATTTGTATTATTTATAACAAAATCATCTTTATTGCAATCTTTCAAATTTTAAAATTGCAACATTGTGAACGATCGAAAATTGACATCAATTAAATTGGGACACACGGAAAACGGTTGAGTTCTTTTTCTCTCCCGCCGGAAGAGGAAAGAAGTGAAAAACAGAGAGAAGAGACGGGTGGAAAGCTGGCAAAAGGAGAAAAGGGAAGGTACGCGACTTAGTTCGTGAAAAGGTATCGACGTTTGCCATGACGCTATCTGTCGTGGATAATGCATCAGCTGCTGGAGAATGTCTCTCTGCCGATCCTTTTTTTCTCGCGGCGAAATACTTCTCGTATCGAGCATTGCCACCAGATTACGGAAAATATAGCTCCAATTAAATTCTTAATCAATGCGCAAAGTAAAACACGCTTCTTGACGACGTTATTAATGCTTTAATACATGATCGATTACTCATGAAGGTAGAAAGCTCCGATATTACATGCCAAAGATATAATCTTCCTTAATTTATAAATGCTTACGCACGATTAGAAATCTATACTCAGCTCTTAGAAATTTATATTCTTTCTGAATTTATAATATGTACGACTAAAAGTCACATGCTGTCAGATTCTTACAGATCTTTCTTCAATAATTCTTTCGGTTATTAACACATCCTTTCTAAATAATTTTTATCTGAAGCACCTTGGATTTTTATTTATTGTATATAACAAAGCACCACGTGGTTTTTAATATTTCTCGATTATTTATATTAGATTTATTGTTATATTATTATTATTATCGTATGGGACTCTTTTGAAATTGTCCAAGGCACAAGGAACCCCTACGTGCGCAATACGATGCAATTACGGCTTTTTTTTTTTATTCCGTGTGTGTATCTCGCGCAAGTTAACTTCCGCAAACATGCGACCGCTCGTGAATTCACGGTCACGTTCTGCGCGTAAAATACGTTCTCGGCGCTTTCGGGTTTATACATCGAGTTTAGGGTTCGTCGGCACCTTAAGGCCGGGATAAAGCGGTCCTTTGAATGAAACTCCTCTCACTGGAAGATTTATACGCGCCGCGCCGGGAAAAATCGAGCAGATAAGATAAGATGGTGCAACTACGTGCCAAAAGAACATCGGGATCTACTTTGAGTAGATTGTTGGCAAATTCGTACAAATACGTGAGATAGCTTCGTAGCGGCAAGCGTTGTATACGACGTCATGTATAATGAATTTATGGTGTATCAGTGCTCAGAAAAGCTAAATTTTCCGCAAAAACGCAATCTTCATGCAACATTCGCAAGGATGTATAAAGATGTTTTTGCAACATGTAACAGATGTGTTATAGACAAAGAAACACGATTGGCTGCTTTATTATTTATAGAATAAATATTTGTATAAAACGTGAAATATAAAAATTCGTTCAATTACCAGTCATTGCCAGTTTTGGAGACGTTCTGTCGCTTGCGTCCAGTTTGGTGGGGCTTTGGCTCGGCCACCATGTTCACATCTGAAAAAACAAACGGTTTTTTTATTAATAAAAAATAATAAAAATCATGCAGAAGTAAAATAGAAGAAAAAATGTCGAACAATTAATTAATTGTACTATGTATTAATTCGCATATATGAGACAATAAGATGTTTAGAGAAAAAATTAAAAAAATAAGTTATAAAGTAAAGAATTAAATTAATAAAAACGGACTATGTATAATTAAGTTTTTCTCCATTTAATTCTTTATTACTTAATTTTTCCTAATTATTACAGATATTAATACCTACTTTTTAATTAAAAATTACATAAAGATATATTTATTTTTCATTAAGTACTAAATTATTACTGAGACTTATTAATTTAATGGCTAATCAATAAAAAACTCAACCCTTTTCAAGTTTATTTCAAGTTAAATTTGTTGGATAAAATATGAAGCAAATATTGATTTCATCTGATTCATGTGAAAAAGATGTAAGAGATGTAGATCAAGCTTTAAAAACCTTGTCAAGCTCGTTTTCAGCAGTGTCGCGTGTTTATAAATTCACGGTTCATCCAGACGTATCGACGTTTACATATCACTTGCAAAATAAACGAGTCGCGTAATAATAAATGACGCGGATTGCGAAGTATCGACTCACGGGCGTGCACGCGGTGCTCGTGCCGCGATATACCCATATACATAGTAAGCGTGCAAAGTGCGCTCTCTCATCGCTGCGCTGCACCGCTCCGCAGTCCGTCCACGGCTTTACCCGGATTAATAAAACGAAGACGCGGCCACGGCTGTGAAGCGCGAAGTTTCCGCTCAGCGTTTCCGCAAACAGTTATTAATTTCGCTGCCTTTGAGCCGGCCCGTAGCGAGATTGATAATGAATGCGCCGCGACGTCGTCGCGCGGCGGCGCGGCGGCGGCGGGCGATCAAGCGACAAGGATTTCGCATTCTTCTTTCTTGTTTTCGTCGCGGCGGTAACTGAGACGACGGCGGTCGCCGTATTCATCGTACAGAGCGATTCAAAAGTCGCGCAACAGGTGTGCAACGATATTGATCCGCGCGTCGTCGTTCTGCGCGCCGTGTTGGCGGCTTACGATCGTGTACGTACGATAATTTTCGCGGACGTCAGCGGGCGTGACAGATACGCAGATCATAATTCGCGAACTGTACGGAGTCATTAAGAGCTGCGAGCGATCATGCACACCTGTGATAAACGCAATTGCGTTCCCGTAACGGGAATAATAAAAGAATTGAAATAAGTCACGACTCGACTTTTGGACGATCGCGTAATGAACGTCAAGGAGCCGCAGAGTAGCGATACGCTGTGCACTTCTGAAATCGAGGGTGTTTAGAGATATCAAGAGAGGGAAAAAAATAGTACATGCCAGAGAACGGAGATAGTGATACCTGCCGGAGGCAAGAAGATGGAACGGCAGAACCGATAAGGAAGGAAGTGTCAAGAGGGGGGAGGTAAAGGAAAAAAGAAGGAAGGCAGGGAAAACGGAAAACGAGCGATAGAGCAAAGAAAAACTAATATAAAAGAGAAGAAACAGCTCTCCAATTCGACGGAGTTGTTCTTTTGTCCTTGCGGTGAGATGGAAGAAGTGGAAAAAGTGAAAATTGTACAGACAACAGGAAAATAGCCGGCGAGATTGTTCAAATAAATTAATATTGCGTAAAGAAATGTATAAAAAAGGAAAAAGATTATGCTTGTTTGATTTTCACAATTTCTTATCGTCTAAATTAACTGAAAACTGCAGGAGAATGAAAATGTTAAGATGAACGAAAAATAAGAACGCGCCGTTAATCTCTTTCTGATATCATCGTCAATTCTTTTGGATAAAGTTTTAGAACATAATCTTTACATTCACAGCGTAACACACCCTTTCCCGCCACAAATCACTTCATCCCAAAAACATTTTCCCATCACGCCCGTTACTCCCGCAAGACGTTTGCTCGTATCCGTGTCGCTAACTTCCGGACGTTCCGCAAACCGTTGAGGTCCTGTAGCAAGTCCCTACCACCATCCCTTCGCCATTCCAACCCCTCTTGCGAGGGGTTGGTTTGTGGATGTTCCTTGTTAGAGTAGCGGGCTGATTCCGTTGTGTGCGCAGCGGTGCGCTTCGTCCTTTGTGTGAGCTAACCAAACACCCCCTCTCTCGGCGCCACCGCCCCTGTACCTTATCCTCATCCCCCTCTCATCCTTCTGCTCCTCCATTATCGCGGCTACTTGCGCAAATTGTTTACACGTCGGTCCGCGAGCATTTCATGAGGCCGTCCGAAAATTGATGATTTGGTAGATGTTTGTTGCACTTTGAGAAGGTGAAGGAGAAGGAGGAAGGTTGATTTATTAGAGAAAGAGGAGGTGAAGAGTATTTCACGGAGCTATTGAAGACGCTGGATAAGGCTGCTTCAAGAGCTAAAGCAAAGTCGATCTTCGATTTCACGCAAACATCAAAATTTGCTTTATAAACTCAGCTGCGTTATCATTTATTGTCTTTAAAAAATATAAACTCTTGCTTCGATGCTACTCAACCAAAATTGAATAAAACGAGAGCTAACCAATACCTCGTAGAATATTCTAATCAATGAAATTCAGATCAATAAAAGCCTGCAAGCGTACATGTCTGTGTGATACAATCACCTCATTCTTTGTTAGTTTCATGTAATTTACGCTATTTTCACATGATGTTTTAAAAATCTATTTGTTTACGTTAATTTTTGAACAGTATCCAATGATAAAGTGAAATGTATAATTGATTGTGTTCAAAAACGTGGCTGAGGAGGACGTGTAAGCGTATACCAAGGACCGGAAAATTCAAGCGCTTTTCCTCGCGTGAATGAAGTGTGAAGTCGTTCTGTTTCTCTCTTTCTCTCTCGGTTTATAATGCAATGAAGCTGTGCAATCGCTCGTCGCAGAACACTGCGGACGATCGGCAAACGCGGCAATTGCATTCGCCAATTGTTTTTCTCGATTTGATTTCCCGCGGATCGAAATGCCCACGCGGATTGATTTATTGGTAATCCACTTCTACGCGCGGCGGAAGAGAAAATCCGGGCGTCAAGGGGTTAAATGCAGCGCGGCGGAACGAAACTCCCCGACATTCGCCACCGCGACGCAGCTAATCGTTGCGGGCGTCGGCGTCGCCGCGAAGTTTAGTCGATACGCGGGTGTACGCGGATGCAGTAACGCGCGCGAGAGAAAGAGAGGGGAGGGGGGTGGGAGAGAGCAGTGACATAGAGAACGAGAAAGAGAGAGAGAGAGAAACACGGTGAGAGAGAACAGAGGAGAAGGGGAAGAGAGGAAGAGAGAGAGTGAGAGAGAGAGAGAGGAAGTCGAGTATCGATGTCATCTCCAGCACGCGGTTGAAGGGTGATTCCTATATCGCGTTGTGAATTGTTCCTCGAACTAACCGCCCGGCGGTTGAGCGAGCGACAGCGAATGCGAGAGCGCGGGCGAGAGCGAGAGCGAGAAGCGGGCGCGAGCGCGAGCGCGAGCGCGAGCGAAGCTGAGCGGAGTCTGTAACAGGCAGCGACGCTAATGGAATATGACAACGCGAGGCGAATAATAATCGGCCGTTTCTCCGTCGCCGAACTTCGTAATAAAACGAGCATTGTCCGTGACGTTTCGTCGCCGACAGCGTCGCGACGTCACGGCGGACGTCGCCCCGCCGCCGCTCGTGGATTTTTCGCGCTGTTTTCGCGCGCGCATTCGTATTAACGATCCGTGAGGCGTTAATGCACTCGATAACAATGTAATCCATTCGGTGAATTGTTCTATGAATTTTCCCATCAATTTTTCCGTCACTTCGAAGTAAATTTTTTTTCTAAGTATAATCCGACTCCATTTTACTTAACGATTTTTACTCGTGGACACGTACAATCGAACAATTTAATGAATGCATATCTGTAATGTGTCATGTCAGAACAAAGTTTATTTATCTCAAAATATATATATGTTTTTAATTGTAGCAAAAATGAACTAAATATTGTATGCAATTTTTAATAAGGCTTTCATCAATCTTCAAAAGCTTTGTCGTTCTATGATGAATCTAAGTTAAATGTAATGAAAATGTCAATACGTTAACATTTTCTATGTGCTGAACGATTCAAATGAATAACTTATTTAGGTTTTTAGATGCATAAAATATACAATTCTTGTTCTTTTTTCAATTTCGAGTATTTAATTTTAAATAGATTTTGCTTTAGCAGATCTGCAGTTTGAGAAATAATCCCGCAGAGAAATGTGATGTTGAAAATTTAAAGCTTACGACAGGTAATGACATGTGCTCGACGTAATCAGGGAAAAAAATAAACTACAAATATATCGCACAGTTTCGCCCGAAGAAAAATTTTACTTTATTACAAATTGGAATATCTTTCTATCATTTTCAAATTAAAAATACTGTTTCTACATATTGCAGTCCACACAAATTAATTGTATGCTAAAATTGGTCATGCATTTGTTAATTACAAACATATTTCGGTATCGTTGTAATTTGTGCTGTACTTCGTAACGTGTAATAAATTTTACCGTAATGATAATTTATTATATAACATAACTGTCCTTTTAATAGAATCTCCATTGAGCACAAGGAAAAATAATCCCTCATTTAATTCACAAAATTGCGATAATTAACCACTCAAGTGCACAGAAGAGTGATAAATTAAAATATTCATGCGTACGTTTAAAGAACGCTTGGAACGCATTTGATGGAAAATTTGTTTACCACGCACTCAGGTAATTGTAAGAAAAATATTGCATTTTACACTAAATTATAATCAAAGGAATTAATTTATTAATTTGGTGTTATTGTGACAACGATTATTTTATTATTTAGTAATGTCAAGAATAATTGATAGACTGTGAAAATCGCTGATAATATGGCCTATTAATTTTATAACCGCGAGCCGTTAATCACAAGGGATGCCAAATTGTTAATTCATCAATTTATTTATGATCTTGCAGATCGAGTAATTAATATTGCACATGGGCTTGACCGGGCATATTTCGATATCCAATCGTATC